AGCAGCAGGGTCTGGTAACGTCAATGGTGCCAGTGTGATGCACTGGTGCGTGTGTGTTGGCATGTGAGCAAGCTCTGGCTGGGCTGTGGAGATGCTGCAGATGCCTCCCGCACCCTTCCCTCCTTCCTTGGCTGCACAGCCTGTCCCTGCTGGCACTGCCCTTGTTTTGCTCCATAAGCACATTGCAACCCCGCTTCGGTGCCTTGTGGGGTGGGAATGAGTGTCTGGGACCGAGCTGGGTCTGGTCAGGGCTGGGGGAAGGATTTGGGTCAGAGTAACAAAAGAAGGAGTTTGCAAGACCCATTTCCAACTGGTACAATGGGGCAGGGGCTGGCAAAGGAGCCCTCAATGATGAGGGGAGAGATAAGGCTTGTTTTGTGGGTCTGATGCGATCCTGGAGCTCATGGTGAGGGTGGCAGCCCCAGAGCCCAGCTGGGCAGTGACCTGTAATGCCCTAAGTGGTGTTTTGGTTGATTTTTCGCCTGGAATTAGTCAGCTTGACTGTTTGACCCTTCTGTGATTAGCCTGAGAGCTGGGGAGTGCTGCTTGATAAAGCACAGGGAAAACAAGAGCCTGCAGGTTCCCGCGTGCAAGGGGGCAAGGTCCCAAATTCCTGCCTGAGGCAAACAAACTCCTGGCAGGGGTTGATTTAAAGGTGCCAAATCCCCTGCTCTGGTCTGCTTTCAGCCCCAGCAGGAGACCCGGGATGGTAACTGCGCGCATTGGGTGCTGCAGCTGGGGGTCACAGGCTGAGAGCTGGGCTGGTTCAGCCTGGAGAAGAGAAGGCTCCATAAGGGGAGATCTTAGAGCAGCTCCCAGTGCCCACAGGGACTATGAGAAACCTGGAGAGGGGCTTTGGACAAGGGATGGAGGGACAGGCCAAGCGGAATGGCTTGAACCTGCCAGAGGGGAGATTGAGATGAGCTCTTGGGCGCAGAAGCTCTTCCCTGTGAGGGTGCTGAGGCGCTGGCACAGGGTGCCCAGAGAAGCTGTGGCTGCCCCATCCCTGGCAGTGTTCAAGGGCAGGTTGGACACAGGGGCTTGGAGCACCCTGCTCTAGTGGAAGGTGTCCCTGCCCGTGGCAGGGGTTGGAGCTGGAGGAGCTTTAAGGTCCCTTCAACACAAACTAGTCTGGGATTCCATGACCCCATAGCAGTGACTTTGACTTTGTACCTGTGTGGGCAGGGGCGAAGGGCAAGGTTATGCTCAGGCAGCTGCAGGGAACGTGGCTGCTCTGCTTTTCACCCATGCTGCAGAGGCATCCAGGGTCACGTCCAGCTTTGCTCCTTGTTTCTGGTAAGGAAAAGTGTTGTGTTAGCTTTGTCCTGAGCGCCGTGTCTCCAGGCTGCGGTCCTTGTCCTTAGGGCAGAGCATCTGTGTCCCTCTTGTCCCAAGGAGGGGCCGGGGCAGCACTGGGACCTCTGCTCCCACTCTGTGTGTGCATCCAAAGGGAATGGCTGTCGGGGGGTCCCCAGAACCAGCAGCCTTGGGTTAGATCCTGGGAAACAGCGTGGTGGTGGTGGGTGCTGCGGGGACTGCACCTACATGCACATGGTTGTGTGTCACAGGAGGCACGTGGCAGCCTTTAAATGTCACAAAACACATGAAAAATCAAGCAAAAACTCACTTTCTGAGTAAGACAAGAGGTGACACTGGCTTGTACCAGCAAACACACTTGTCCGTGTCCCAAAGTCCTTCGGCTGCTGCTCACCCCCAGGATCCTTCATGGAAGCAGCTGGGTCACATCCGCTGCTGATTCCCAGCAGAAGCCCCAGGTTTTGGAGAGACAAATACGTTCCTTCCAAGGCTGCAGCCTCATGGGCTGCAGATTGAAGTGTGGACACACAACGGTAGAGTCAATAGTGCTGTATTTGCTTGTTGGTCTCGTGATTACAGAGCCAAACTGTCCTCAGGCAGCCCGCGGGAGGCTGTGGCAGGGCAAAGGCACTAATCCTGCATCCCTGGTTTTCCTGGCGCTTTCCTGGGCTCTGGATGAGCTGCTCTGGCTCTTGCTGTGATGCCACCAGCCTTATACACCATACCCCTCCCTAAGCATCTCCCCTTTCCACCAGCCTTGCTGTCAGAGGGGCAAGCACCCGTCTCCCATAGCACCAACACCACAGGGACAGACATCCCCTCTCTGCTCCATGAGATCCCACGTTTTCCCTGTTGAGTAACTCACATATTTGGGATTAAAGCAGCCAGTGCATTCCTCTTGCTCGGCCCTTGCAGTAGCCCTGGTGCCACCCCTCTGCCTCCTCCAACCTCCCACAGCAGCCCAGAGTGAGAAATACTCCCTTTCAGTGCCTGCTTTTGTTGCTTGGGGCTTTTTTCCCCCCCTCCAGCATTTTGCTTCCCCCTCACCCTTTCAAAGGCCAATGTGGGCCCTTATAAATAGAAACAAACTGTGCCGCACAAATGCATCGCATTAGCCTGGCACTGATTGCAAATGCCAGGCTGAAACCAGAGCAGGCAGCGTTTGCAATGCCCATTCCGGAGGGGTTTGGAAGGAGCTGGGGCTCTGCTCCTGTGGGATGGATTTCCCCATGGTATCCACAGCAACCCTGATTTTGGGGGGAAGCTGCAGTGTCCTGCCCAGGCTGGGATCCTGGGAAAAGATGAGAAAATCTGGGCACCCACCCCAAATCCTTCTACTTTTAGAAAGCAAGTAACGACTTCGAGGAATGCCAGAACGCAGCAGACTGTGCTGGAGGGCAAACCCAAGCAGCACATCAGCTTTTAACGTGATGGAGGAGGAAGGAAACGCTGCTGTGGGCAGCACCATGTCCCCTCTCCACACCACCCATCGTGGCATTGCTACAGCAAAGCAAGATGCTTTGGGGTCTCATGTCTGATGGGGCCGGTGCAGCTTCTGAGGGACCCCAGCCATGGACCACTGCTCCCCAAGACACCCCACGCTCACCCTTCTCCTCCTGCTTAATTTTTAGCTCCATCTGGTGGCAGCCAGACCTGTAAATGTAATATCTTTATGGCTACAAGAGCCCTGCCGTGCACACAACACTGATGTCCCAGTCCTTCACCTGGACATGGCTTTGGTCTTCAGGCCAAACGGGCTTGTCAGGAGGAAACCAACACCCAGGCTGTGCCAGTCTGCCCTTCAGCCACAGCACATCGAGTTCCCTGCCAATAGAGCATCACTTGGATTTGCACTGAGTGTGATAAAGAGCAAAACAGGGTGAAGCAGCATTTCATAGAACCAAGGGACCTTAAAGCTCACCCAGCTCCAACCCTCTGCCATGGGCAAGGACACCTTCCACTAGAGCAGGTTGCTCCAAGCCCCTGTGTCCAACCTGCCCTTGAACACTGCCAGGGATGGGGCAGCCACAGCTTCTCTGGGCACCCTGTGCCAGCGCCTCAGCACCCTCACAGGGAAGAGCTTCTGCGCCCAAGAGCTCATCTCAATCTCCCCTCTGGCAGGTTAAAACCATTCTCGCTTGTCCTATCTCTTGATCAGACACACACAGAGGTTTAATGCACTCCAGGATGAGCAGAGACCAAAGAGACATAAGGATGGTTCTATCCGTGGCTGCAGAAGTGGGACTGGTGGCAAACCACTGCTTCATGGGCAGGGAGGGGAGCAGCATGGTGAGGGCAGAGCATCCAGCAACGGATGGTGCACACACATTTATTGATGAACACACCAGACACACACTACAAGAGAAACCAAGCGGAGCCACAACTGAACACAAACTGCAAACCTTCACGTTGGTGTGGGGAGCAGCAGGGACCTCCCACCCTACTGCCTGAATGACCATGTAAACTCTGGGTGATGCCTTCAACTACCACGGGGCTTTTCCAGACTGCTACACAGCCAAGCACTGGCAATGGGTTCTCCACCACTCCTTGCCTTTTCCCTTTGCCCACCTCCCTGCATCCTGACCCAGAGGGACCATGGTTTTGGGGGGGGACATGCTTTCCTTGAAGCCCTGTCTGAGGGCAAACCCGAAGGAAGGAGCTTCTTGGCAAGAGTTGGCCTGGAGGAGCTTGTGCAGGAAGGATGGTGAGAAGGGGTCCCTCAGGAGAGGGAGCTGAGCAGCCGTCTGTAGATGAAGCCCAGCTTCTCCCGCAGGGCCAGGAATGTGGGACGCTCCTCCGTGTTCCCGCTCCAGCATTCCAGCATGATGCTGTAGATCTCAGGAGGGCAGGAGCTGGGCCGGGGCAGGCGATAGCCCCTGGTGATTTGCCGTACGGTTTCTTGGTTTGTCATCCCTGCAAGGAAGGAGAAGATGCCCCTGAATGTGCTGTCCCCCAAAGGATGCTCTGAAAGTACGACTGCAATGGGGCAAGATGTCAGTTTGTGCTGCTGTGAAATGATGTGTGTGATGCTGGTAGAGGAGAGGCTACAGGAGATCATCCAGCCCCTACACCACCTTCCTGCACCCACTCTACGAGCACTGAAAATCCCTCTAAGCAATCCCCGAAGTGGACAACAACTTGCTCATGTTCTAGGAGCTGCTTCCACATCCTTTATGGAAGGGACAATATAACAATTCAGGACATGTTGGCTTTTAGGCACCACGAGCAAGCTGCCCAGCAAGTGGATTGAGTGGCACTAGGGCGGCTGGAAGTCCTACCTTCATATGGGATCTGTCCATACGTGAAGACTTCATAGAGCAGAATCCCATAGGACCAGACATCGGATTTGAGGGAGTA